GCTCCCAAGTGGCTGGTGTAGGCAGGGTGGTCTGCTTGAGCTCCCACCAACGACCTGCTTCCCCTACCAGCATGTAGGAAGCAAGGTAGCTCTTTGCTCGGGAACCACTCCCAAGGTCTTGAAAGCTCTCTCAGTCTCTGCCAACCAGTACTGGGCATCTTCGAAAGAGGATCCCCCTGCAAAAGTGAAAGGGTTCAGTCTCCTATACCTCTCTATGTAGCCTGGAAAAATCAAGGAGAGAGTTGGGTCCTGTGGAAGAGGGACTGGGCCCGACTAGGGATAGACTGAGGGGCCCTGTGGTGGCACCTGATGATATAGTGGGGGCACCGGTTCATACTACGGTGGTGGTACCGGGTGGTACTGTGGTGGAGCAGGCTCGTGTCGGGGTGGCTCGGGATCCGCTTGCTGTAGCGGTGGCTCAACCTGTGGTAGTGGGGGAGGTTCGGGTAACTCCCTTATCTCCTCTCGACCTTGCTGGGCGACCATGATCCTCTCCAGCATCTCAAATATTCTGTCCACATCTTCCCGAAGTGAATCATCCCGGGCTGCTCAGTTTAGTGGGGGTCTTCTTCTCCTCATTTCTCTGCACCTGCATTTCACAAGGAAGAGTTGAGTAACGATTTATCGGTGGGTATTTCTCTAAGCATTATTGTGTAAGGGATGAGTCCGAGGAACGCGGCTCTGATACCAACTGTAATGGCCCCAGAAATTTAAAAGAAAATGTATGTATTAAAAATTCTAAGTGCGAAAGCGAGATAAAAATTCTGATTAACATCCCTTACACAATAACCAAAAACGTATTCAACGTGTGAAAGAATAAACTAACTAAGGTAAATACTAGTAATGAATGCTATAAATAAAACTATGAAATCCTTAGGCGTATACTCGCCGTCTTCCTGCGGGACGGGCTCGGGAACCATATCCTCCTGATCTGAAATGGTTAAATAAGGAATGAGCTACACTAGCCCAGTAAAGATATCACACTATCTCACTGCCACAGAAGTAAAGGTTGGTAGAAAACAAAAACAACCAATGGAGCATAATTCATGATAAATTCATTTATCAATAATAAAACCCTTTACTATCCACTTATCTCGGTGAGCTTCATGAAAACAACATAAGAAAATAATAATATTATAATATCATGAAATTATACACGCTTTATAACATAACACATATCATACCTTTGCATTTCAATCATCAGACAACAGATTTTCCTCTTTTATCAGCCTACTAGTATCCATAGGGGTCTCCGCTACACGTGAACCATTCATATTGATAGCTTGATTCAGGGCCGTCCCAATACCCCATCCGGTATGGGCGCCAAAAACCATAAACCTTAATACCCCATCCGGTATGATGGTGAAAGGGGCCGTCCCCATACCTCGTCCGGTATGGGCGCCAAAACACGTAAGGTCTCCATACCCCGTCCGATATGAGAGACCACGTTCCCGGTAGGGTTCTCTACGGACCCGGTCCATCCACCATCTCCCAAGATATTTAGTTAGGCTGTCGACATCATCCATTTATCAATTCACATACCTTTTTTCATTTTTCTCGGTTTCAATTTTCCAATCAAACATAAACACGTATACCAGTAATGAACACCAAACAAGACAACAACGGGTTCCCAATAATTCAAACTATAATAAATGAAACCGTGATTCATGCATACGAAACCATAAAATAAATATATTAGATACCATGCTGCATTTTAAACTGTAAAATAGATCAAACAACAATTGACCGAAAAATACATCAGATTCGGGCTCCATTAGCAACCTTAATTAATTATACACAATTCATGAAATACCATTTTTTTTATTTATTGAGCTTTAATACCGTGATTGAAAATAGGGTGAGAAATACTTACTTGTTTCGGGGTCTGATATGATGAAAGGTGATAACTTTTAGATAAAATAGTAAGACGGAATAGTGGTAACTTTTCTCTCGTGGCTCCCGACTCAGAGGAAGAGACATTCCGAATGAGAGAAAAATAGTAAGAAGCATAGAGGTGAAGGAAGAAGAGGGAGTACGAAGTGTGCGATATTTAAGAGTATTTTGAGGTTTTAGATAAAAACCTTAGGAAAACTCTGCTAAATTTGTGAGAGTAAAGAAAGAGAAAGAAAAGAAAAATAAGGTTCACGATCAAAAGGAACCTATAAACTGTAAGAAAGGTAAACTTTTTCTTAAGTTTTAAATTTTAATTTTTCTTTGATTTTTTATATTAGTTTTTGAGTATTGTGTTAGATATTTTTGACTAAAGAGAGTGACAAAAAATTATCTCGAAACTCTGCCAAATTTTTAGAGAAAAAAGTCATAAATAAAGCTGGAACTCTGCTGGAATTAAGACTATAACTGCTAATGATCTAATGTAAGTGAATATTATGAATTCATAACCTACGTAGTTGTGAAGTATTTTATGTATTTTCAGTATAAAAATGTGCACATATTTAATTTATCTTCCGTATTTATTAAGTAAGCATTTGTTAAAGTTTTACTTCATTATAAATATTATTTTGCTTTATATTTTTAAAATGTGATTTTAATATGTATACATCACTCATTATGGAAAGAAGTTATCCGAAAGAACCTGCATTATGCTAAGCTTCAATATGACCGTACATAATCGTTCCGTGTTCGGGTGTATTAGCGAAGTGATAAGTGTGTACCCATGCATAACCGTTTTGTGTTTGGGTGTCTGAAAAAATAGTCTGATCTGCGTGCCCTAACTGTTTCGTATTCAGGGGTAGCAGTGTTTCAAGGTACTCATAGATGTCGTTTCGTGTTCGGGTACATGAAAAACCAATGATAAGTATCTGTGCCTATGCATAATGTATGGTAACTGATTAATCCTCCATAATAGTGATGAAGTATACAACATGCATCTGTTTTATGATTTGTTCTTTCGTCTTTTGATTTGTATTTATTTCAGAAAAATTATATTATATATGTTCTGTCGTGCGTAAAGAAAGTATATATTACATGTACTATATTAAGATTACTATTTCTTATTTTTATTTAATAATGTAAATAAGAAAATTTAGAATCTCGTAAATATCTTTATGTTTTATATTTAAGAAATGTAACACTTTTGCAACTCTTTTATTATTAATAAAATTAAGTTATTTTACTTAATTCGAGTTTATATGATTTAAAGAAATATGCTCCGGTCATTACCCTATAAAATGGGGTGTGGTCCGTGACATTTCTTGTGTCATAGTCCTTCAAATTTGGATTACTTATTATCCTTATCATTATAAACTCAAATAAGTCAATTTGGTTTACTTATTATTCTTATCATTATGAATCTCAAATAAATTATGTGAGGCTCATACACTATGACGCTTATACTCTCATATGCCCTAGACTTAGACTTGTCTTATTGAAACATATTTATAGGCTTACCCAATTTTCTTGTTTGTTGTTTTATCCATATTTGGAATTAATTGTCCTTTTCTTTTTAATCTATTTTAAAGAAATCTCTCTATATTCTCATTATTAATATTCTCATTAGCGTCATAATTTTTTTTAGATTTAAGTAACTATTCTCACAATGATCCCCAAAGGGTTATCATTTATATATATATATATATGCTTTTTTAACATATTTAAAGTGATAATATTAGTTCAGATGATTCTACAGTGATAACTAACTTTATCTTACCGGATAACCAAATATAAATTTGATCAAGTTAGGTAACTATATATTATTTAATACTAAGTTATTACTTCTGATCTTTATAAAATTATGTAAGAATGAAGGTGAATTGACATAAGTCATAAATTTTAAAATTTGTCCTCTATATTTTTTTTTTACATAAATTTCAAATCAACCAATTAAATTTATAGTGCTATTAATTTATATACATTATTAGGTTGACAGATAATAATATCTAACTGTATAACTAATATTTTATATAATTATTTGTTAATAGTGTGTGATAAATCTTGTTACTATAAATTTTTTAATTTAGGATAACCATTTGTCATCTATTCGTATTTATAAATTTTTTAATTTATTTGATAAGTACTCAGTTGATTTATAAATTTTTATAATATTATATAGTAAAGTATTTTAGTATTTTTAAACTAGAAACTGTTATTTATTCTTTAAATTCTCTCCATCCTTGGATATTAAAATGATTGGAGTGTCCCCTCCATCAAAATTTTGGAAGAAAGATTTATCGTAACTTTATGCATAGACAAAATACCAAGTCAACCCATTTTTATAGATATACACCTTTCCTATTAGATTATGTATTAAAGTTTTATATTTTAATGTGTTTATCTGACATGTATGTATCTAAACTTGCATGTAGGTTCATAAGCTAATTGGAGTAAATTAAAATGGAAAGATAAAGAAAACAAATGAACTCTTGAAAAATGCGTAAGAAAACAAGTTTGGGGAAGAATATATATGTACATATTGTTCTAAAATATTCTCCAGTATTATATATGAAGAGAAAACATATTTTTTTTTTTTAAGAAAAAAAAAAAAAAAAAAAAAAAAAAGATGTGGAAGAAGGAAGGAATTGGGGAATATAATGGCAATGTAGATTTGACAATTTGTTAATGCAAGGCGGGGGTTATGCCTTAAAAACCGTGTTTGGTTATACCAAAAAGGGCCACTTTGACACCATGTACACACACACACATTATATATAT